AAAGAGTAATGCCATTTTTTTATTTTATTTTGTTTTTCTTCTGACTCAAGTGCTGTTGATGCATTTATTTCTCTGGTGATAAAGCATCACACAGCTTCATGGACTTTAGCAAGCATCTTCCTTAAGAGGGAAAAAAAGGAAACACAGCCTAAAGTTCTGATGGACTACCAAGAGAAAGGGATATATGTATTTTCTACAAAGTGGGACTCTGAACATTCTTTCTCATATGATATGAAAAAAATACTTATACTTACATTATACATATATATATATGTAAATATACGAATATATATAAAACCAGGATAGTTCCTATAGCACAATGGTTAAGCACTATACATAGAAAGCCAGATCCCACATGGCTCTGTGCAGTTCCTGGCCCTGATGGCTTGAAAAAATGTCAGGCATGTGTGCACATGTTTCCTAAATCTTGACAGAATGGAGGAACAATGGAAAAAGAATTGTGGTATGACCATGCCTCATTGGAGAGTGCTTTTTTTTTTTTTTTTTTTTTTCTTGCTCAGTCTCTCTCTCTCTTTGGCTAATGCATCTGCCCTCTTGGGAACAAAGAAAGACAAACAATTCATTAAAAAAAAAAAAAAGGCAGGGAAAAGGTGGCAAGTTAAGCTTGACCGGGTAAGTACCCCCAGAAGCCTGATCTGAGCTGTATCCAAGAGTTTGCTACAAACTTCACAATATTTCAGTAGGAAAAAGTGTGATTATAAGTAGCCCTCAGGCTGCACAGCAAGTCCATGGTAGATCTGGGAGATGGCAGAGCTAGCTACCTTGCCATCAGGTAACTACTTACATCATCCCAGATCAATAGGTATTTATCATCTCCAGAAGGAAGTTTCTAGTAGAAAATCTCTCTGATCCCCATAACTAGAAATTCTAACCTCCTTCCTGCTGCAGGAGATAATTTATTTTCTCTTAAACATCTTATCATTACCCCTTTATTCTTTCAAGTTGCAGCACCTCCTGCCTCAAATGCCTAAGACCTTTCTGCCTGTTCAAATTCCCATTTCTAGTTTTGTCACCCACCATACAGCTTATGCTCACATCATACCCTAGACTTTCCCCAAAAGTTTCTTTTTACTCACCGTATAACCAATGGTCTTATCAAGACTCAAATGCTTCCCCAAGAGTGCCTTTTCTTTCTTTTAGGCTATAGGATACACACTAGTTAAGATAAGGCCTCTATTTAAGAATCCAATCTGAACCAATCAAAACCAAGATGGTGCCTGAAATGACAGCTGCCTAACTTTCAAACTTATTATATCCTCATTGTATTATATTATATGCTAGGTGGAACACCTACCAGCACCATGACAGTTAACCAGCTCCATGATTATGACCAGAAATGACCTTTATAAACAAAAAAGTAGGCAGGCTTTGGAATTTCAGGAAGTCCTTGTTTTTTTTTTTTTTTTCCAGGAAAAGCTCTGTATATTCCTCCCTTTCACTACCTTATTCCATCCCCTCATTACTCCATCTCCATTTGCTGTTTTTTTTTTTAATAATTATTTATTTAATTTTATGTATTATCACTGCTATTTTTAAATTTGCTCTGGAGCTTGTGCACTCACCAGAGAGAAACAGAGAGAGGGAAAGTAAGAAAGCAAGTTACCAGGTCCAAGACTTGAAACATGGTTAGACATGTGGGAGTCCAGCACCTTAACCACCATGACACCTCTGGCCTCAATTTGCTGTATCTTAAAGTTCCCAGTGCAAGACATGTGAGGAGTAGATTTGGGAACTGAATTCCTACTTTTCCCTTTGATCACTGAATAAACCTTGTGCCTTAGACACTCTGTCTCGGTCTCTTAAGTGGGCTCTGCATTTCCAAATGGCAAAAGAGCCCATCTTTGGAAATAAATTTAAAGATTGGTAACAATTTCTCTTAGCTTTGGTACTTTGAGTCTATATCTGGTTTAATATTGCCCGCTCCATTGGAAGTTAGCAGTCTTGCATCTTTCATTAGGGTATGAATTTCTTGAGGTTTGGAACTGTATTATATATTAGGTTGCCTGAAAAGTCAAGATGTATTTTTCTATGCAAAAATGTATAATAACTTTCCCAATATTTCCATATTCTTCACAGTGCTTTAAATATACTGTATGTCAGTAAGTGCTTTGTCATAATCTGGTTTCTCGTAATTTTAGGTAAGTGCACTTACTCATTTATTCACTCATTAAACATTTGTTTGAAAATCTACTTGGGATTGGTAGAGTGGGGATGGAAGTCCCAGGTGTCATCACTTTTCCTGATAGAGCTCTACACTTCCCCAGTAATCCTTCTATGACTGGAGGCAGCCCTGAGGCCATCCATCACTTACTTTTTATCTTGAAACAGAAAAAGAGAAAAAAAAACCTCACTCTTGGCTCTTTTTGGACTTTAATCACCAGGTCCTACATGGCTCTGCTTATAATTCCAGACCATGTACAATGGAGGTGGGTGAAAGGAAGTACAAAAACGAGGAGAGAAAAATCATAAAGGGTATACAGGAAGATTGATCTATGAGGACATTCATGTCGGTGTTATTGAGATCCAAACCAAAAGTTAAAAATGTGCTAATTAGATAAATTATGCTGCAGGAGGGTATCTATAGATGTGAAATATACAGAATAAAGGTTAAAAATGAAAGTCACACAACAGCGAGTATTTGCAGTGAGTTGTTATCGTACTAAAAAAATTTTCATAAGGATGATAGAGAATCTAGAAAGAGAAACTTCAGAGTGTTAAAAGAGAGTATACAATAATGGAACTATAAATATTTTGTTCCTTGAGATTATAGTATTTTCCAGATTTTCTTCAATGGTTCTGAATAACTTTTGAATCAGGAAAAAATAAAAAAGGAATTAAAAAAATTTTTAAGGACAAAGTAGAACAGGATGATAATCTCCCTCAGAATGTGCGAGTTTTCTGATAAGACTAGCACAAGGAAAAGGGCCTGTGGCTGAATATCAGTGCTGACACATCCACTCCACTGCTTTGGGGAGCCTTTGCTGATGAAGCCTACTCTGCTGGTCTTAAGTAGATAAATAACACTATACTAGCATTTTGATCTGTTTTCCAACTTTGTCTCTTCAAATACACATATGATACGAGAATGAACAAGTATCACATTTTCCCCCAAGTCACTGGCTGCTTAGAAGCCTGGTTAAGGGACCAGCAGATGGTGTAATGGTTATGTTGCTAGACTCCCACATGGCTGACCATGGTTCAAGTCCTGGACCTGGTGGCTTGAAATTCACACCAGGCTCATGTGCATATGTGCCCAAAATCCCAAAAGGAGAATGGAGGAAAAGGGATTTTGGCATGACTATTCCCCACCCTGGAGTGGGGGTGAGTTCTTATTTTCTGTCTCTCTGTCTCTCTGGTGAGTGCATGTGTCCTATAGCAAAAATCTCTCAAAAAGAAAAAAAAAATCCTAAATTCTAGAAAACAAGTGAAAATTATGCTTTAGAATTTAGTTAAACTGAAGTTAAACTAAATTCTAAAAACTAAGTGAATAGACGGATGACAAAATCAGAAGTAAAGATCTGCATTAAGGCACTCTAAAAAAAAAGATTAATATAGTGTTTAGAAGAGATGATGCTTGTTTGAATTTGAATGGATAGAAGAATGGACTGGAAGGGAAGAAGATACTTTTGGAGATAATACCCTACGTCTTCAAATGGAGGTGTCTCCAGAGCCACCAGGCTTGGGACAGGTTGTGGGGGCAAGGGTGTCTGAGCAGAGGTCATACCTTGGTCTGGAACGTGCAGAACATGTGCGTCAGGAATGGATGCTCCCAAGCCAAGGAGAGGACTCTCTTCTCTACCATTGTGCACTCCACATCGTCATCCATCAAAACCACATCTTTCTTTAAGGCTTTTATTGCAAAAAATTGATTGGTTTTCTTGAACTCCGCTAGAAAGACCTAGAAGGAAAGAGAAGAGGTAATTTTATCTGAGAAATTGGATTTCCACTCATTAAAGAAGAAAATGGGCCCCAAAAGGGATCTGTGTTGGGTAGAAAAGAGGATTGATTCCCTCTTCAACCTGCCTCCACTCTGGACAGAATGTGACTGAAACAATGTGAAGCACTTCCCTGGTTTCAGATCTCACATAACATTCCATACTTTCCTGGCACTTTTCCAGGGATACTGCAAAATTATTATACAACTGGGTGGGTTAATCTCAATACCTGAAAAATTCTGTTTGAAAAAGTATGCCCTGACTGTTGAGGGACCTGAGTAAGAACATAATAAAAATTCAGAGAGGCAAAATGCACATTGAGGGAAGAAGAGTAGAGTAGTGAAGAGAACTTGGTTGTACTCGAAACATCGTGGAAAATGCACATAGAATTTAACTCTAAATTTTACCCATTTTTCAAAGCAAAAAAGAATACTTGAAGTTCACTCATTAAAAAAATGAACATCCTTTCATCTAATGACTCACATCATTTTTAGGACATGTTATGCTTTGGACATTCTGCTATGTACTTTACATTTGCTAATTTTATCATTGAATTAGTTCTTAGCTCTTAACATTCTGCAGACAGATACTACTACTAATAAAAACATTAGATTCAAAGAGTAACTTGACTTGCTCAAATTCCCACTCAGGGGAAGATCTAACTCCATTTACTTTTCCAATTGATTTTATGAATCTCCTATCAAAGAACACCAGAAGGCAATACAGGGGAGAGTGTCAACAAATTTAGCTTTTGTAGATGTCGCAGCAGCCGTCTATTGGCAGCTGTAAGGATATGACATTTGGACACAGAAAACTCCAGCTCTGGTTACATTTCATAGACATTTACTAGCCATGATAATATGGGCAAACACATTACCCTCTCTGGTCTTTAGTTTCCTAATTTATAAAAGAGATAACTATAGTCATAGTCACATTTACTAACTTGTAGGACTATTGTGAAAATCAAATGAGATACCACTGGAAATATTGTTATTTTAAAATTTACTCTTAGGAAAGTCAATGATGGTAAACCAGTACTGAAAATTCAAATGTCTTGGTTTAAAATAAATAATATAGTGCACATCCATAGCTTTTTGGTAACTGACTTGGTAGAAAGGGGAGGGCTTGGATGAGAATTCTGGCAAATGAATGATATTCACACCCCCAAAAAACATGCAGTTTGTTTTCCTGGGCTTAAGAGCAGATTGTGAACCCAAGTGTAGAGGCTATCATTTTGGTACGAAAACATACTTTCTAGGTAGAGTCAACATAAAGAGGAAACAAGTCTTGGATCACTCTCAGTGTTGTGGAAAGGGAAATGTGGCCGTGCCATTCTGTTTTGGTGATTTCTTCTCCTCAGCCCTTGGTGTGGAGGTCTTGGGAGATCCTGATGCAAAGGAACATACTGCTTTGGACATAGTGAAGAGGACACCTAGAACTCCCACTGTCCCTGGGGATCCTGACTAAAACTTCTAGGTGTAACTTCATGTCTTTCTTATTAACCTTGTTCAAATGCAGAAATTCACTTGGGAACAAAGAAAGATAAACAATTAATTAACAATTAAAAATACTCCTTTGGTAATTGCTTCTTTCAGTGAAACGTCCTAAAACCAGCCATAAACTAAGAAGCTGAAAAGGCAATTTCCATCTACATAATGTGCTTTCAATTTTTGGTAACAGGTTATAATTGCACATTAATTGATGCTAAATTATAATGAAGACTGGCTGTAAAATTGCCTATTACACTCAGATTAACATCCAATGAGCCTGCTGTGGTTTATATTGTTGTGGAAGCCATTTAAAGGAATTCATGAATATCAGCTACAGTCTGCAGGGTAGAGTAGATTTTGCCAAAAGGCAATGCGCTGGTATTTAAATCCAAACCCCAATTGGAGCACAATATTATTCAGCTGTGGTGGGTGCAGAATTGCATTTTAGTTTGTTTATTATTAAATAAACTGGGTAAGTTTTCCTGCCAAAGTCTGGTGAGCAGGTGCTGAGCATAACACTGGCTTTGGATGCACACATTCATGTAGCAGTAGTCTGGTTAACATTTTCTCAGGGATTGTTTCCAAGAATATAAAACAAGTAGGAGCCCCACTAACACATTAGATATCCTTAGTATTTAATTTAACTTAAAAGCCTATATTCCATATCATACCTCCTTACAATCAAGTAGCTTGAGAATTTTCTGTTATCACTGATAGTTGACTATTATTTCTTAAATTATGTTTCTTCCTCTTCCTCACCGCCCCCTTTTCCTCCTCATTCTCTTTCCTTTCTCCTCCTCACTTACTTGTCCCTTGTAACAGAGACAACCCATACTGGAGTGCATCACAGAAAGGACCTTGACCAGGAAGGTTTTCCCAGGATGTCCAAGCTATAGCCTTGCTCTAAACTGAATTATGTTTTCCCCATTTGTAGTTCACATGAAGTCTTAACTCCTGTATGTAACGAATTTGGAGATAGGACTTTTAGGTGATTAAATTTAAATGAGGTCATAAGCGTGGGCCCTAAACCAATAGCACTGGCATCCTTATAACAAGAGGAAATTTGAGGACAGAGATGCATAGAAGATAATGTGAAGTCACAGGGAGAAGATTCCATCTACAAGCCAAGGACAAGGTCTTAGAAGAGACAGCCCTGTGAACATGTGATTTTAGACTTCCAAATATTGGAACTGTGAGAAAATGAGTCTCTGTTGCTTAAGATGCCAATATGTGGTGTTTTATTACAGCAGCCTGGGCACACTATTACAAAGCCTGAAGACATTTGAGAAAGAAGCAAAAGAGGAAAACATAAAGCAAAACAAATTAAAAAACCCGAGTGAAATAGGAAGTGGCTGAGACACCTCTCTGTTTCTTTGATTCCCAAAGACATCACATTGGTAAGTGGGTGAGGTACCACCCTCAAAGCAAAGTGACTGTAGGGACAATGAGGCTATTATTGCTCCCAAAGTCCTCTATGTCTCTGCTTATTCAGAGATCTCTCTGCCCTCTCAGAAAATACTCAGGAATGGCTGTCTCCACACACCCACACACATTCTGGTCCCATGAATTTAGTTCCACTGATCAGGACCCTATGTGCTTCAATTCCTGGAATCTGGGCCATGGAATTCTATAGTGAAGTAGCATACCTTGCCAAAACTTCCTTTCCCCAACATTTTGTGCAAGATAAAATCTTCAATTTTTAGTTTCATATGTAGAGATGGTCTTTCTATGTTCGGTTCTGGTTCTGGATGATCACACATTTTCTCCACCTCATCCAATGGAGACTCCCAAGAGATGCCCTGAGGCTCTGAAAATGGCAAGCCACTGGTTAAAAGTGAACATGGAATAATGGAGGGTCATTCCTGTTATAGACAGGAGATACTTTCTCTTCTACTTCCCATTCTCAGGCTCCATCTGCATTTATGGAAGGGGGCGGATCTGTAGCTCGGCCAACTTTAATGCCTCTCCATCTGTCTGTGAGGGAAGCAAGTGGGCTTGGCCTTTGGAGCATGACAGTGTCTCTTTATCCAACAGACTAGGAAACAGTTCAACTTAAGAGACATATTCCAGGGCCAGTTGGTGGGTACAGTGGTAATATAATACTTTACAATGCTGGATACATCTGGGAAGATCCCAAGTTTGCATCCCAAGGTCTTCTTGTATATGTCAGGCACAGGCCCATAGTCTGGGATGGCTGGGGCTAGAGGTGGATTACAGCATGAGGAGTCTGTTGGGGCTACTTGCCTTTCTGTCTCTCTCCCCATCCCCCATGAAAGAAATAAATAAACTTAACAAAAAGAAATAAATTACCATAAATGCAAAATTAATAACTACTTTTAATAATGTCAAGTTGTAAACAAGTGAAGAATCTATAAAGAGTCAACCAAATTCAAGGAAAATTATTCTCAATTGCTGATGTGGCTCATAGGCACAGTGGTATCGATTTCTGTGAGTTACAGTGTGAGGAAGAGGAAATGAAATCTAATGCATAAAGATCCCAACTGCATTATTAGTCATGGTCTCTTAGGTTAAGATGCTGTCTGTGTTGATATCACTGGGATGTGGTCTACTTTCACACATTCCAGTGATGTGTGAAGGACTGGGAGACCCTTCCAAAATCTAATCCAACCTTTCTTTTAAAAATTTTAAGTTGATTTAGTCTTTGCCAGATGCCAGAGGAAGTGTAGGAAAACTCTTTGGGAGTCTTCCTCCCTTTAACATTACTTTCATTTAGAAAATCTCTATGTGTATCTCTTACATCCAAGGAAAATACGTATTTTATAATGCATGCCAAAACTATTCATATCCCAAGATTATATCCTTTTACAAACTATCTTCATACAATAGGTTGGAAAAATGTCTATGTCATGAAAGTTGAAGGCTTTGGGCACTGCTATTCTTCTCTTCTCTACCTATAACTTCCCAGAAAAACTTCAAAGGTGCTGAGCAAAAATGTCTTTTGTGATATCTACATCAGCAGGCTTTCTGATATATTTATGATATATTTATTTCTGTAAAATTGTTGAATGTTTACAGGAATGTTAACATTCAAAAATTCTAAGGAAACAGTTTTCGTTGTTTCCTTCAGACATAGCCTACCTCCCTCCCACCCCCTTCCAAAGGAATCCTAATGAGGCATACTTATTTTATTTCTTAAAAGGATCCTCTTAGTTGGTGTCTATATCTGTAATCTTTAAGAGAAAAAATTTCCTATTAGACCAGATAAACCAAATACTTAAATCCAGAGGATTCAGGTTAAGGTTAACATTTATCAAGATTAATGACTACCGTTGATTGACTGTGGACCAGGATAATTACCTCTTTTCCCTGGTGTTGGTGTTGATGTTGGTAAGTATGGTGACCTTGCTTCGCTTTTGATTGAGCATGGGAGACCAATTTCAACTGGACCTTCTCTGAAGATCTGTTCAGTATCTCTCAAGCAGCGAGCCTAGGTTACAAACCAAGAGTCAAATTGCCCACCCTCTCACTGTCAATGAGCCAGCTCAGCCTGTTGTCCATGGGATAAAAGCCAAGATACCTAAATGCATAGGACAATCAAAGCTCTCCACTCCCTCAACATTTGTTCAGGACTCCTCATCCTTTCTTTTGAAGGATGTGTTGTATTTAATGCACCAGCTGGAACATTCCTCCTTCCCTCTTTTCTGCGGACTAACTGGAGTCTTAGGCTATCCACCTCATTCATTTCAAATAAGAGCAGAAGGTCAGTGGGTGGCAAAATAGCTTATAGAAGCAATGCCAAGTCTTAAAGAGTATTTGTTCAGGGATATGGGATTTCAGTCAGTGCCAAGGTAATAGATAGCAAAGCAAACTTTGTCCCAGATTCTGTGTTCTGAGGGATTCTAGGGATGATACTAATAGATAAATGTGTTTCTATGGGCTAGTATATAGCCCCATTATATTGATATAAAGCTGGCAATGAATCCTCAATTTTAATGGATTTGTTTCTGCCTCTGCTCATGCAACAAAGAATTTAAGATCTTACAAAGATTTATAGAATAAAAATAAATATCTCAAAGGAGTGAAAGTGGGCATGAAGATGATATTCGGGCATTAGACTAGAGATCAGAAATATATTTTAATATTGTCCTATAGGGTTGCTCCAGGTGAGACAGTGAAAGGGCTCGGCTGGTCCTTGATGAGCTGTACTGGTGGGAACTTCTCCACTTTGCACTTTCCCCACCTGTTGAGTGCTCTCGATCATTGCCAGTGCTTCAGCCATTAGCTTCTGGTTTATGCCACAAAGGTTGGCCACTTTTGTCTGGCATCTGTGATGTACGTTCATGCCACATGCTGAAAGGAAGAAAGCAGGACAGTGAGTAAGAAGGAAAGAGCCCCTTGGTACTGGGAAATGATTCCTTCTGGAGGTGGAACCAGAGCCTTGTTGATAGGGAAAAAGCATGTTGTTAGTATGCACTCAGGTTGTACCATGGCTGGGTGGAAAATGTTGATGTCGGCTCTCCTTAGTAGTACTATGGCAAGCTAGAACCGAAGGATGTTCTCTCCCTTCAAATCTTGAGCTCAAACATCCCTTTACGTATCTGTGCTGTGTGGAGCTTCCCTACCCCTAGGCTGAAGCCCAAGAGGCAGCCTTGGCATGCAAAGTGGAAATCGAGAAGGAGTTGGTATGTGTATGTGTTAAAAGGTGGAAGTGAAATGAGGATATGAGGTCAGATGCCATATGCTCACCTTAGGGGGAGTTGGAGGTGATAAACCAGAAGACTTGGCAATGAAGGGGGACTTGGGGAGCATGGTGCTGAGCCTTAGGTGGTGGGAGACAGAGCATCCTGAGAACAGAACTGAGAGGATCTAAAGGATTTCTGGTGACTCACAGAAAATTTAGATATTTTGTTTCTAAAATTCATTTGAGATGACTAAAGTTGAGTCCCTTCTTTTGAACAAAGAATAACAGAAAAAGGTGGGAATATTAAGCTTGAGATTCTTTTACTCTCCATCTTACACCTTTGGGATATTATAGGGCAGCTTTAGATGCAAACAAAGGCCCTAGGCAGTCATACTTGTTGGGCCACCCCAGAGCATGGCAGTAGGACTTGATGAAGCAAAGGTACCTCTTTTCACCTCTGTCCTTTCCCTGTGTCTACCTGACACCCCTTGCACAACATCCTACTTTTGATTCTCTCTTTAGGATAAACCTTTCCTAGGGTCCAGGAACTTATTACTTTGATCAACAGATACTTTTCCAAGAACTGTTCAGAAAATGCTACACTGTATTTTTCAAGGCCCATGTGATAACAAAGATGAAACAAGTCCAACGGCAGGGATGGATGTTAGTACAGTGGTAATGCACTGCTCTGTGAGGCTGACCCATATGGGAAGGATCTGGGTTCATGTCCAGAGACTTCCCTGAACACATGGGGTTTGCAGGTACCCATGATCTGGCGCTGGCTAAAGCTGGGAGTAGATCATAGTATAAAGACCCTCTTAGGGGTATGTCTCTCTATCTGTCTCTGTGGCTCATGGAAGAAGGAAAGAAAGAAAAAGAAGGAAAGAAGGAAAGAAGGAAAGAAGGAAAGAAGGAAAGAAAGAAAGAAAGAAAGAGAAAGAGAAAAAGAGAAAAAGAAAGAAACTGATAAATAGAAAAGAAAAGAAAAAGCAACAACAAAAAGAAAGACCAGTGGCAATTGTTTTATATAGAGGAGCATTGTGGTTTAAAGATGTTGGAAGCTAGTAAGACCTAGTTAAAAGCAAACCAACTAACAGATCTCTCTAGAATCATTACATTTTTTAATTGTGGCGAGCAAATTTGTTTGAATGTTAATCTATTTTTTTCCTTCCCTAAATGATTTTCCTTCCCTAGTCATCTCTTTCCTTTCTCAGGTTTCAGTGGGCAGGATTTGAAGGTCAGTTCCAGGTATCTCTGAGAAGGAAGGGACCAAGCAGAGAAGGGGAGGGCATGGGAAGGAGGTACTGCCATCTCTCTTGGACTTGTGAAGAGAAGAGCAAGGTTTTTGGATCCAGAACTATAACTATTTCCAACAGATATGCATAGATACAGTCAGAAAAATTCATTTGAAGCAAAACCCATTATGTATATTTAAAATCTTTAATTTAATGTAGTTTTATTTTTATTTTTATTTATTTATTTTTTTATGCTGACTATCTGAATTCTGAACTGTCAGCATGATTCACTTTGGTCTTGTTTATGTGGGTTTTAGGTTTTAACTTGGGTGGCTCTAACTGCATTTTCTTACTCATCACTGGAATGCAGTTGGCAAGGATTTAGCACAATGGGATTGGAATTTTACTTTGCTTTGTAAAACCCTAGCCAGATCTATACCTGGCTCTGCTGTGCGTGGCAGTGAAGAAAGGCCACCATCCCCACTGTAAGGTTGTTAGGTCTTTGTTACTAACCTATCAGGTGGTAACTTGATCTCTGTGAGTGCAAACAATCCGTTTTGATGACTGTTTTCATGGGAATTATTGGAGAAAGAGAAGACAGGATAAAGGCTAAAGGAGGTCTTACCTAAGAAGATAACTTATAGGGAAGCAAGATAAGATAGTGAGGCAAAGAGAGAGAGAGAGACAGACAGACAAAAGGAGAAGCCAGAGATGAAGCTGAGGCATATGGAGGTGAAAGGAGTTGAAGAAATGGTGATATGGGGGGGGGGTGTTAAAAACAAAAATGAAAAATAAAGTGGGGAAAGAAAGGGAGGGATGGAAAAAGGGGGAAGGAGAGGGGACAAAAGAGAAGAGGGAGGGGAGCTACTTGAAATGAAGGTGGTAAGAGAGAGCAGGAAAGAGAATGGAATGGAAAGGAATGGAACAGGTGAGCATGCAAGCTGTGAAATAATGCCCAGGAATTCTTAGGGAAGTTCTATACATTGTAGTCACTTGGCAAGGACAAGCTTGGCTTCAGTGAGTGGGTCCTAGAGCTCCCAGAAAATGAAACCTAACTGTGGACAGCCACTGGAGTACCTTCAGATGGTGAGAGCTTGTTACCCATGTTTCTGTTTGTACAATAAGACTCCTGGGACATGACTTTTTGCCTGTGGACTCTTAACTACATACCATGTAATCCCCTGCCTATCCATGTATTCTTGAACAGGTACAGAGTAAAAGGTGTATGTGTGTGCGTGTGTGTGTGTGGTAGTTGGGACATGAAGGGAATTTCAGGGTTAATTTTGACTACTTGTGAGTTTTGCTTTAGGGAATGATTTGGAAGCCCAACATCTGCCCCCACTAAGATGTGACCCTGAGTTCTACTGGACATGTGAACACATTTGAGGTTAAGAAAGAAACTGGAAAGATGGTCTCTCACCTTCAGTCAGGTTCTCTATTACTTTAAAGGGAAGACAGCCTAGTCAATGGCATACATGAAAATGGGGCTGCCAAGGAAAAATGCAATAGCTTATATGTTTAAGCCAGAAGGACTGTGCTGCAGTCAGAGCCCTCCTGTGGTGACTGTATCACCCAGGCTTTGCCCCTCGCCGAGAAAACAGTACTTTGCCAATTATTGTTGGGCTTCTGTGCCCCACCCCCACCTACACAACTCCTCCTGGCATAACAGATATCACATTCTAAAGGTTATTGCTTTTGCAACTTGGAGTATTAGGGCAAGAAAACCATTTCTTGCTTTCTTTTCTCAGGGTAGAATGGAGTAACTCCATTAGAAAAGAATGGCAGCTAAAGCTTTGCTTGAGTCCCAGTTTTGAGGAAGGATCAAACGATGGAAAATGGTGCTCAGGAGAGGACTTGGCTTCTTACTGAGTACATGGAGCTCACAGCAAGGGTTTAGAGATAGGCTCCCAAGACAAAGTCACAGAATTCCTTTGTGCAGGTCCAAGCATCAGCTAAGTGGACATGGCAGCTTGTTCCCTGATGGGACGATAGAAGAATTCTACTAGTTGGTATGACGGAGAAGCATCTCACTGCTAGACCTGCCAGAATTAGGAAGGGTCAGCCTGGAACCCTTCCAGGAAACTGCAGGACAGCTTGGATTACAGTCGGGTTCTCAGCAGAGGGACCGATCAGAGGAGAAATACTGTCTTCCGGGACTGTGATGCAGACTGCAAAGAGGCCAGGGTCCTAGACTTCAACCAGAACTGGGTGGCTTTTCTGGGATGTGAGGACAAGGGTGATGGTGGTGGAAGGGAAAGAACAAGGGCTCTGTCCTTGGAGGATGGCACAGCTCCTGGACTGGGTGTGGGAGCTGTCCCTCTACACGCGCCTTGTACTCTCCGTACTCTCTGTAAGCCATGCCTGTGCCCAGGAGTGTACACGTTGCTTCCTGCTCACTCACCGTCACACTTGAGTCCTTGCCTGGCCAGCCCCCACAGCAGGGTCCCACAGTGCTCGCAGAAGGTGGGGCTCTTGTAATTGTAGACTTTAAATCTGTGCGGCATGTCGATTTTGAACCTCTCCTTGTGGAACTGAAAGAAAAGCAGAGGCTGTGACTGGGCTGTCCCTGGGGCCCTGACTTTTGACATCCTCGCCAAGACTCTAGCATAACTAATGATAACTGTAATGAAAACACTGGCGCTGTGTGCATTTTAACCATCACATTTATTGGTCTCTCTCAGCCATAACTGTAGAAGGCAGACAGCCATAAGCTCTCTAGGTAAGGGGTGAGCTTGCTGTTTTCTCCTATCAAGCACTCTGCAGAAGGCAGAAGTCTGAGGCATCAGCCCAGGCAGGTTGACATTTCAGGAAGAGAAGAGCAGGGTTATTTATTTAAATAGAGCTAAGGAAATAGTCCTCCCATTTAAATAAATGAAACATTCCTTCACATTTTAATATAAATATTTCCTTTTCTCTTTCAGCCAGAATTAGTCTTTTAACCTTTAGGAAGTGTCAAAAAATGCCTCCTTTAAAGTAAACATACCTACAGGTTTATGACTATGCGAGCCTAATGTGGGAAGCATGCTCATACCTATTATTTAGAAAAGGGCAAGCAGCTTGCCCTGGTCCCAAAGCTATAGGGCTAAAATATCTATAAGTTGGCAGTCACACTAAGAAAATATCCATTCTATTTTTGGTCTGAAAATAAATGTTAAGGGTTGGGGGGTGGGGAGAGGTGAATGGGGAGGGCTGATGGTAGGGACAGATAGATTGCAAAATCTTTCCTGATTTTATTTATTTGTTTATTTTTATAGTTTTTGCATTCTCTCCTTCAATCAAATTCATTACATGAAATACAGAAAACTTAAATTGTTGGAGTCTTGGAAAGATACAAATATTCTTGTGCAGTATAAAAAGTTTTACTTTCTTAAGATCTGTAATTTTTGCAGAAGTTTCTAAGTAAACAATTGTTTGAAAATGGGCACAGCAAAGAAGCCTTATTCACTAACATAGTGATAGATCTGATGTTTCTGCCATGAATATTGGTCAGTCTTGGCTCTTTAGAGCAGTAGTTTAGAATTGTTTGAATGTTGCTCAGCCTCTACTGAAGAGATTTTCGACAGAGAAAAATATAATCTCCGGAATCCACTTTATATTCCATAGTGTAAATACACATAACAGGTTGAGGACCATACTAGAAGGCAGTCATTTCCATCTTAAACCTACATGGCTGAAGGTACAGATGGTAAAAACCCTAGATCTGTACTTTCCTGTATGAAAACCCATTAGCTACATGGGGCTAGTGAAGACATGAGAGACGGATAGTTGGAATTGAAATGTGATTAAATGTATTAAAAAAAAATTCACTTCTGAAGACTTTGTATAAAAAAACATAAAAGATTTCCAATTTGTATACTGATCACTTGTTGAAATGATAGTATTTGAGCTAAGTAAAATATATGATTACAATTATTGGGTAGTCAGAGAAGTCATGATGTATTTTTCTTTTTTTTTGGAGATGTTTTTGCTATAGGGCGTGTGTACTCGCCAGAAAGACAGAGAGAGACAGAGAGACAGAAAGTGAGAAATCACCCTCCGGGGGGATGGCCATGCCGCAATCCCTTCTCCTCCTTCCTCCTCTTGGGATCTTGGGCATGCATGCACACGCGTCCAGCGTGAATTTAAGCCACTGGATCTGGGACTTGAACCGTGGTCGACTACATGGTAGTCCAGCCACATAGCCATTATGCCAGCTGCTGATCCCATGATGTATTTTTCTATGCAAAATTGTGTCATGACTCTTCTGATGATCCAATAATTTCACCTTTTTCTTTTTTTTTTAATGTGGCTACATAAAGTTTGAAGTTATACATGTGGCTCTCATTCTTTTTCTATTGGACAATACTGTTTTTGGTTCAGAGGCACAAAAGGATCCCCAAAATGATGTTCTCTCCAGTGAGAAAGAAACCAAATATCCCCAGAGAACATGACATTGCCAAAGCAGACTTTCATTTACTTCACTAACAATTCCTAAATACTTTATTCTGTATACTGCACTTTTTCCTAAAAGCTATTTCTATTTATCATCTTCTCTTTTCCTTCTCCCAACCCTCAGACTCCATTGAGGATTTAACTAGGAGATTAACAGTGAAGCTGACCATTTGTGATTTTTCTAGAAAAGTTGAAGCCATCAACTTTGGCAGGTGGTAATTTTTTTAAATTTATTTTTAATTTTAAATTTATTTATTTTACATTCATTCACTGAACATCATCACAGCATACAAAATGTGTTTTCCCATCCAGAATACACTGTATAGTGGCTGTATGATTATACATGTTTATCATCAATAAATCATTTTCCATTTTGATTATCGTCAACAAATAATTTTCCAATTTGATTTAAATAAGCAAAAACATGGTCTGAGAAGTTGAGGTCTGAAGTTTGGCCCTGCTTTTGACACCGACAGGTGATTGTGGACAAATTATTTTGACCTCTTGGAGTCTTTGCAAAATCACTTGTTAACATGAGATTATTCCCTTCTTGTCCTAAAGTTTAGAAGAAATTCAACTCTGGAAAATTTGACCAGTTTGTCTTCTCTATACTACCATTTTCCTGAAGAAAATCACACACCTGGGCAGGCCGACCTTGTCAAATTAACATAGCTTTTAGCTCTGCTCCACAGGGCTGCTTTTTACTAATCATCTGGTTTCTTATCTCTAAGACAATGATTTCAAAGACCTTCCTGTTTCCTAGAGGCTGTTTATCATCTCTTTTTCCTTCTCCCAATCCTCAGAATCTATTGAGGATATAAACCTATGGGAACTCCTGTGTCTGCCTACCACCCACTTCACAAACCTGCTCTCATCAGCAATAACATTGCCTTACCCTCTTTCGGTTAAAATCTAAAAAGTGCCCTATAACGTCAGACCTCTCTGCATGGATTTGGCTTCTCTTTTCTCATTGCCAAAAGACTGACCATTTGTCTATCTTCTCTAGCTTCATTTTCTCTCCCCACGTTGACAGTATTAACGCACAAGTTGTTCCCATGTCATCACCTTTGACTTACTCTCAATGCAGGCCACTGAAATTTCTCTGATTGAAGGCTCATAGCCCTCATTCTTCTTAACGTCTCAACGACATGGACCACAACCGATCCCTTCTCTTTCTGGGTTCCTTAACTTGTTTTAAGTGTATGAGGAATTCTTTGGAATCCATGTCTCAATCTCTATTTCTTTTCTCCTACCTAATAGCTAACTTTAGGTTCCTGTGCAGCTGGCTCTGAGGGCTTCTCTCTCTAGTTCCTCATTAGGTAATCTCTTTGGCAGGTTTAAATTCCATGTATGGGATCTTCATTCTCAAATTTATACCGTTGGTCAATTGGCCTACATGAATTGCAAGCTCAAATGCAATTGTCTATTTGGTACCTCTACTTGGACACACACAGGCACCTCAAGACTGAACATGTCCAAGGTAGAAATAGCAATTTCTCCCATAAGATCTCTCTTTCCAGCCTTACTCAAACTTGTCATGCTCTGTTATTTACCCCAATCTGCTGCTCAACCTTGGACAGAGTCAGAACTTTGGGCATCATCTTTAAATATCTTCCCCTCTCCACACTCAATCCTTTGGCAAATCCAGTAGTTTCTAACATTGAAATCACCTGAAAATCTGTTCACTTTGCTTTATCTCTGCCGTTGCTACACTTGTACAAACCACCACCCTGCCCTACGGGGCTCCTTCCATCCCTGGTTTTACTTTTGCATTGCAACACACCCTACTTCACACCATCATAAAGTGGGTTTCCTGCTACAACTCATTTAAGATTTTTATCACTTTCAGGGTTAGAAGCAGCACTGTATGATCTAGGTCTTACCAACTACCCAGCCTGGTATTCCTTCTCTCTCTGGTCCTTGCAGCTCCAGCCATACCAGTGTTTTTTTTTGGTTCTAGCACATATTGGATTCTTTACCTGCTCAGGATCTTCCAGTATGTGTGGAGACTTCTTACTCCTGCTCTTGGCTTCTTTCACCCTTTAGCTCCCAGTTTACATGTTCCCTCCCTTGGGCAGATTCCCTGACCAGTCATTCTAGGTTACCTGGTGATTCTCCATTCTTGCACTTTGTTTGCTATCGTTGTGGCACTCAATGTAAATCAGCACTACACATAGCTGTTTGCTTATTATCTGTTTCTCTAACTTTTCAGGAAAGTCCATAAGGGCAGGACCTTGCTTGCTCTGTGTTGTGCTATACATGGTACATGTTATAGTATCTTCCATGTGTTAGATACTTAATAAATACTTGTTGAATGAATGAGAAACAAATGGTAGAAAGAAATTGGAATATTTTGTAGTGACAGGCTCCCCAAATTTCTAGCTCAGGTTTCCTTCTCTATGAGCTAAATCTATCTAGTGTTCAGATTATATATCAAAGTTCTTTGTGAAAGAAATTTTTGTTTCTCACATATGAATTATATGGGTAATTTATGTTACTGTTTCTTATTAACTTTGTAAATGCTATGTCTCTGAATTTTATAGTCATCTGTTTTAATTACTCTGTCACTTCCAGCTGTAGATGCTGCAAAGGCTGTTCTTATATAATTAATCAAAACTGGGAACCAGCAGTTATCGTAATGGCTATGTCACTGGACTCCCACGTAGTCGACCGCAGTTTGCGTCCCGGACCCGGTGGCTTAAAAATTCACCCCGGGCACATGTGCATGCGTGTCCAAGATCCCGAGAGGAGAATGGAGGAGAAGGGATTGCGGCGTGACCATCCCCCCCCCGGGGGGTGATTTCTCGCTTTCTGTCTCTCTGTCTCTCTCTGTCTGGCAAGCACACGCGCCCTATAGCGAAAACCTCTCCAACAAAACAAAACAAAACAAAACAAAAACTATGTCCTCTGGTCATGTTTTATAACATTTTTTGGAAAAGGTAAAATCATTAAAATTCTTATTGTGCTTTTCTTATTTATCAGCTAGTTTTGGTTATCAGTATACTCATTATTAAGGAGGGAAAAGTTTTAGGATGTTGACTCATTGATATGCTTAAGGATTCAAGTTCAGGCATTATTAAAAAAAATAGTGGACTCTAAAATAAGCATCAGAATGAAATGTCAGACAGAGGGGAATCTAAATACATACCATGGTTTCTCTGCTGTTGATAGCTGATCCTGTGCACTTAGCTATAACTTTGTCGATACATTTTTTATGAATTGCTGCATTACATTCTGTAAAAATTAAGGGTAGCTTAATATTTTCAGAAGTTAAAGAACTACTAAATAAAAAGTGAGGACAACACAACAGAAATCCACATTACTTACGTCGGCACTGGTAGCCCTGTTTGTTTAGTCCCCTGTAATAAAAGCACATGACTCATTTGTATGTTCCCACAACATTGACCCCCCCCAAACATTTAAGAAGTGAATGAAATCTTAAATCTTAAGATTAGAGTATTTTCTTTTTTCTTTGTTTTAGAGAGGTTTTTATAGGGCATGTGTGCTCGCCAGAAAGACAGAGAGAGACAGAGAGACAGAAAGTAAGAAATCACCCCTCAGGGGGAATGGCCACACTGCAGTCCCTGCTCCTCCATTCTTCTCTTGGCACCTTGGGCATGCCTGCACACACACATGGCATGAGTTTAAGCCGCTGGGCCCGGGACTTGAACTGCAGTTGACTATATGAGAGTCCAGTGACATAGCCATTACACCAACTGCTGGTCCCTGACATTGCATATTCTATTGTAAGTTGATTCATTAAAATTAGATAAATAAATGAGAAGCTGTTGATTTTCTTTTCATTTTTGTATTTTCCAAACGTGTAGACATTAAGATGGATGACCAAAAATGTATCTCAGGCTCTGAGAAGCAAATTTCCATGTGCTATTCTTTTTTTTTTTTTTTTTGGAGAGGCTTTTTGCTATAGGGCACGTGCGCTCACCAGAAAGACAGAGAGAGACAGAGAGACAGAAAGTGAGAAATCACCCCTTGGGGGTTGGCCAGGCTTCAGTCTCCCTTCTCCTCCATTCTCCTCTCAGGATCTTGGGCATGCACACACATGTGCCCAGTATGAGTTTAAGCCACCGGGTCTAGGACTCGAACCACATGAAAGTTCGGCAACATAGCCATTACACTAACTAATGGTCCCCCATGTGCTTTTTGCTATTTGATGTGTGCGCTCGCCAGAGAGACGGAGAGAGACAGAGAGACAGAAAGAGAGAAATCACTGCCCGGGGGGATGGCCACTCCACAATCCCTTCTCCTCCATTCTCCTCTTGGGATCTTGGGCATGCATGCTCATGCACCTGGCATGAGTTTAAGCCACCGGGTCCGGGACTCGAACCGCGGTCGACTACATGGGAGCCCAGCGACATAGCCATTATGCTTACTGCTGGTTCCCCCGCGCCCCCATGTGCTATTCTTAAAAGTCACTGTCTCACTAAACTCAGTATAAAGGAACAAAGGCAACACTGACACAGTTTACTCTTTCTTTGCAAGTATCTGGATCTATTTGCAATGAAGTTTTAAGCTCAAGATCCAATCCTGAGTAATACTCATTAGAAAGGAACAGGTTTGGGTAATTAGGTGGAAACAGATTGATGAAAATCTGCCAAAAGTGTATCTGACCTTTGGGTACCCTGGCTAAATGGGAGCTGTATGTTAACAGATTCTGCAGTGGTCCAAAGGGAAGAAAACCAGAAATAGGAGTCATTTCAAGTCTGCTCAATCATAGCCTTTGCTGTGTGGTTACTGAAGCTTAAATATCTGATCTGTTTGATGGTTGTTAAGATACCCAAGAGTCTCATAAACATTTAAACCACTCACTGCAGCGGGAAAGTGCTGCCTGCTGCAAGGAGTAGTAGCACCAGTACAGTTGGGCTGTTGAGGTAGTGAAAGTTTTGACTTTAAAATTGTAGAACTGCACTTTCAATAATGATAGCTTCCTCTTCTATTCCTCCCTCTGCCCCCTTAACAGCCTCCCTTTTAAACAATGAGGAGTTCAATTCTTCTTGGTCTTTTCCCTGACTGGTTCTGGCGTCCTTGCTTAACAGAAGCCACATTATGCATGTATTTTATTGCATCACACTCATCCAAGCAAGACTGTAGACAATGCTCATGCACTTATTTATTGCCCCTCTCCCAGGCAGAACAGGCAGGCCTAGCAGATAGAGGGTGTGATAGAAAGTATAACCCATAGCATGAGTGAAATGCCAAGTAACCGTACCAGACAAACTCGTGGCAGACAGAGCAAAACGTGGGTTGTGGGAAAAAGGTGGCAGTGAACTCATGGCACTTGACATGGTGAACTTTGGCCTGTTTGATGGCTCCTCGGCGGTGATGCAAAGCAAAGAAGCCTTCAGTCTCAAATTCACTCATGTCCTTTGTGTCTGTAAGAGGAGAATGGGAGACTAAGTGAAGTTCTGCAATAGGACTATACAGCTGGGTGAGAAGGTGGGGATGAGTAAGGAACAGAAGGTGAACATGCATTGAGCACCCACATCCACACAATTTCAGGTACTGAATAAAGTGGGTGCAATCATGAGTCTCTTCCCCTAATTCTTTAATATAGAATTGTCCCTGAGAATCTCATGAGAGGATTGAAACCATGAAGTTGGATGACTGGCTCAATCCTTCACTCCTCTGGCTGGGCTGAGATATCCTCTTTCAGTTTTGAGCAGCAGACATCATAACTTTCAAGGTATTTATCAAGCTCTCTTCTTCACTGTGAATGATGAGTCAGCCAGAAAAGGCAGGAAGTGGCAATTATTTTTCTGTCTGTAATTCTTGAGAATAATGTGGTTAACAACAGCAACTTAGGAAAGGCCTTTCCAAGGTGTCAGAATGCTTTGCTTCTGGTTGTTTGTAGACAGGCTATAATAGACTGATGGGAGCTGGCTAGGATTTTGAGTGAGGGCAAAAGAACCTCAAGAAATAGTTTCTGTTCTGGTTTCTGACTTACACACTACTAAGATACACCAGCTATAAACTGTACTGGTCAATGTGAAAAGGGTCAAAAAATTAATAGCTCGCTGAGAGTTTTTACCTGGTCATCTATATTAAACTAACAAATTTGTATCTGTTCTGTTCACTCACTCTGGGCTCATGAATATCAGTGAAAGCTCTTGGGGTAAAATCCATAATGCTCTATGCCCAGATTACCTCTTCCCAAAACTCTAAAGGACTCTAAGACAGTACAATTCTGAGAATACACCTGAAGCCCTGGCTAAGGCCCAGGTCAACTCAAAACACAAACTAGTAAGGCAGTCATGATTAATCTGCAAGATGAACACTCTTGCAGGCTTGAGAGAATAACATGGGCAACAATAGAGAAGGGATAAAAACAATAATCACACTAAATAATAAACTCTATGATCATAATTCCTAGATTAATACTTTTGTAATAGCTTGAAGATTCTTGGATTACTTGCTTTTATTTTTACAGAAACAACAAAAAATGAGGTTTAGTGAGAATAAGGGGACCCTCGTACTTCATAAATATTAATGAATTAATAAACTTCAACTATATTACTTCAATTCTGGCTATGCAGTGACAGTAGTCTAACACCCATGAGGCAAATGCTCTTCACAAGGACTCTTATCTCCCAATTTTTAACAGTAGCTAGGCTAGAAACACACTAGGTAGAAAAACAGGGCATGCAGGGGGAACCTCTCCCCTCGGAAACCAACTAAGTCCCAGGACACATTTTAGGACTCAAGTCTTTTCAACAGTGGTCTGCAGATCTATTTTACAGTAATATCGAATATCCAGATAAAGGGCATTCACAATAACCACTGATGGAGCATATTATCACACTTTGCTGAATACTTTCAGAGTAGATAATTTAAGTCTTTTTACTTGTAACTAGGCTGAAAATAAATTAGATTGGGTGAATAAGGGCTTAAATTAAGGGTCATTCAGTAAATCATATTCTTCCTCAAGTTCTGGTATTAAGTATAGAGCTCTATTTACAACTTGTGACTGGCTTAGTAGGTTATTCATCAGTAACAGTTAATCCATTTCTATTTTGGTCCAGATGTAATACAATGAAATAAAATAAAGCATAAAAAGACTTTTAAATTTAGGGAATGGAAGGGAATTGTTTTGGGAACCCTAATTATATTGCCGTAAAAATGTATACTCATACATGCTCACCCACACATATACATGCGTATATAGTTTATGCATTAAAAATAATATGATAAATTTTTGAAAACATCAGAAAGTAGTGGAAATTAATTTCTTTTTTTTTTTTTGAGAGGTTTTTCACTATAGGGCGTGTGCGCTCGCCAGACAGAGAGAGACAGAGAGACAGAAAGCGAGAAATCACCCCCCAGAGGGGATGGCCACGCCGCAATCCCTTCTCCTCCATACACCTCTCGGGATCTTGGGCACACACGCACACGCTCCCGGCGTGGGTTTTAAGCCACCGGGTCCGGGACGCAAACCGCGGTCGACTACGTGGGAGTCCAGCGACATAGCCATTATGCTAACTGCTGGTTCCCGGAAATTAATTTCTTACCTTGCTCCTTTCTGTGATTTTCTTTATTCTTTAGCCATTTAAATCGTTACAAGAGAGGAAACGTAAGAACACAGGATTTCTTTAATTTTTTTGTTTGTTTTCATTGTTTCTGAAGCAATTTGCTTCTCTTTATTTATTGATTTGGATAAACTACCTGGATTTTATGTTTTTTTTCTTTATGTTAATGTATCCTAATCTATTTGTTTAGTCTCATCTATCACTTATTTGTTGTCAGTTGAATCACAAATGTTTCCCAACAGTTTTGAGTAAGTTGCTATGCCGAGGGTTCTAAAGAAATTGGAGATGTTATTCCTAATCTTTGAGTGGCTTATTGTCGAGTCTGGGAGACATTGACTGGACAAGGATAGAGATGATTGATTGATATAGGAGGTGAGGGAAAGGGAGGTTATAAAATTATTTCAGGTTTTGTGGAGGGAGCTATAATTAAGACATAAGTACAAAAAGGGTACTGGTGAAAATGGTGAGTATAATTTTGGACACTTGATTTAATTTGGACACTTAAATGTAGCAGAACTTAAGAAACATTAGGAATCTCGTTGTAAAGGCCTATCAAGAGGTTCAACATATGCATCTGAACCAAGGAAACATCATATAGCAACAGCTATTTGTGATGGACTCAGCTGAATGACTTTTTCTAGCAAAGCCTTGGAGAATAAGAGAGGAGCATGCAAGATACAGAGATCGGAGTACTTATGGTGAAGAGGAAATTAATGAAGAAGGGCAATGACAAGGGCCTATCATGGGGATCAGCACAGGTAGGGAGTTAATATAGGAAGTGGACTAATGAATGGGAAGAAAGAGAAACTATATTAGGGTAAAGTCTAGTACTTATTAGGTGCAGGGAGGGCAGAATTGGCAAAGGAAAAGGATGGGTTCTGAGAATGCATGTTCTGAGCTTGAGCTCCTGGAGGGAGAAAAAATCCAGCTGATGGCATATACCAATCATGGCGTAGACAGAGATAAAGTGAAGGAAAGTGTGAGCAAGAGATGGAGGTATCACATGGAGACGGTGAATTATGAAGCCACAGGAGTGATGGTGAGAGAACAGAGGAAGAAGAGAAAAAGTGATTCCAGCATGGAAATCAATGAATAGGGATTTTCAAAGAGAAAGAAGAGAGTTATCTGTGTTTGGTGAGTGAATCATTTACCTCTTTTTGAATTAGAGATGAGTCAAGCCTTCCAGGGAAGAAGGATGCAGAAGACATGCTATTAATACCAAAGATTAGATTCCTTACTCTTCACTCATTTGCTTTTCTTATATCCTCCATTTCTACCACTTGTGTCACCATTTTCCCAGCCTAGCTATTTTAAGAGATATCCTCAATATTATTTTTTCATTCAATGTTAATTTTTAAGGACTTATAAAGTACTTTAACTATGCATGTATAATTGGTTTACTCTGTAATCTACATTGCCATAACATCTTGCATCTACCTTATACTCTTTTAGACTCTTTATTCCTACAACCACACTCCAAGATTAGATTCTCATCACCTCTCCACAGCATAAGTGAATTTTGTAGGCCAATAATGTTTAATTCCTTGAGTAAGAAAAAGTGTACTCTTTCCATTAGTTCAAAGTGTGGCCCAAAGTCTACACACTCCTTCTGTCTAGTCTCCAAGTCCAACACCAGTCTCTGACCCTTCATTTTGATTGTACCAGGGCTTCTGGTTGATATGAGCTGATCTCCATGCAGTTATCACCCACATTATATATTTTTGCTGAAGCCTGCAATTTTTCCCCAGGAAGGCTATCCCAATTCTTTGTAAATAGAAACTGCTTTTTCTTCAAGGCCCACACTATAGAATTTTCTGAAATGAAGGCAATATTTACTGATTTCTTGGTTAATAGTATTTGTACAGCTTAAAATATACTTTTTCTCTAATTCTTTAATCTGTACCACCTCTCCAATCTGGGCTTACATTCCTTTTGTATAAGAACTCATGTTTTGCTTTTCTGAATCCTTCAGAAGACTTTCTTAATAATAAGCATCCTTAAAGTTTAATGACTTCTTGTATTAATATCTTTCTTCATGGTCATTAAAAAAGATGTTTAGGTTAGGTTATTCTATAATATTGGTTGTTAAAAGTTAGATTTTTTTGGGGGGGAGGGGGCAGATGGTAGAGCAGTTGTAAGATGCAATTTTTCTGCAAGGCTGATTCACATGGGAAAGGTTCTGGTTTAACATTCAGAGACCTCTCTGAGTGTGCTGGGCACACAAGTACCCATGATCTGGGGCTGGCTAAAGCTAGAGGTAGATTGTGACATCAAGATCCTGTTGTGGGGGGGAATACTATCTCTTACTCACAGAAGAAATAAACTTTAAAAAACATAATTTTTTGATATAAGAATTTAGAGTTGAAGTCTCAATTTGAGTCCAAATATAAAATTTAAAAAATACTACAAAATGCTATCATTAAATCATTTTTAATGGGCTTGTGTGATTATTGTTTGTGAAATATCACTGTTTTTGTCCCACCTCAATTTGCTCTTATTCTAACAGAAAACTTAAATTCTATAGTAATAGGAAAAATAGCCATCAAATGGTAAGGATCTTTAAGCCATTTAACAAAGATCCTTGCCTTATTACGGAGGCCTTTTAAAAATTGTATTAGACTGTGGTAATCTGATAGGAAGATATACTTTCTCTTCTTCAATGACTTAAACTTTATGAGTATCTATTATTTAGTTCAGTAATTTCACTTTCTATGCAAATCTGGTTGGGTAGATACCCTACAATCCCTCTGTCTCACTTAGTCAACTGAAAAATGGTGTATTATATGACTGTAGCTTCCAAGAGGAAGTTCATAGTACATTTTTTCCTTCTTAGAAATTTTTCTTCCTGTTTATATCTATTATGGAAAACTTCAAATCCATGCCAAAGTTGAGCAAACACTACAAGTAGTTTCCAAGTACCAGTCATTCGGTTTCAACAGTTGTTAACTCATGGCCACTCTCTTACAATATACACTTGTATATCCCCCTCACTCAGGACCAGTGAATTATTTTGAAGCAAAGTAATGACATAATCTTATTTTATCTATAAATATTTTCTATAAAAGATTGAACTTCTTTTTAAAAATCATAACAATATCATTCATTAATCTAAAACAATGTCTCTGTATCATCAAATATCTGCTATTTTTCCCTGATTACCTATAATATTGTTTCTTCAATATATTTGTTTGAATCTGGACCCACAGGAATTAGGTGTGAATCCAAACTCCAGAAACCACTATAAATCTCTAAACTAAAACTCACTTCTTGGTAGTAAAACTAACTTGGAGGGAAAAAAAATGAAATCAGTTTTATCATTGGTAGGATCACATGAACGTCTTTCTGAGGTTTAGAATGTTATGAGTAGTGGCATTTGAATAATTTAAACAGCACTAATATAGGTTTTTCCCGGCACCAAGCATACTGTGCTTATAAATTTAACTTCTGTGACCAAAATTTGAATGAGACATGGAACCGAAAGTCTTTAGTAATGAGTAATGCATTTTTTCATTCTTCCTTGTTTCCAAAAATATTTCAGTGACAAAATTTAAGCATTAACTTTTTTAGTATTTTATGAAAAATTCCAGTTTCTTAGGTATTTTTCATTCTACTGATGGTGGAATAGGTTGTTGTAGCATATTCTGTACACACAGACAATGTAAATACACACAATGACACATAAACAGAGCTTTTTTTTTTTTTTTTTTTTTGAGAGATTTTCACTGTAGGGCATGTGCGCTCGCCAGACAGACAGAGAGAGACATAGAGACAGAAAGCGAGAAATCACCCCCCAGGGGGGATGGTCACGCCGCAATCCCTTCTCCTCCATTCTCCTCTCAGGATCTTGGGCACACACGCACACGCACCCGGAGTGAGTTTTAAGCCACCAGGTCCGGGACACGAACCGCGGTCGACTACGTGGGAGTCCAGCGACATAGCCATTACGCTAACTGCTGGTTCCCAACAGAGCTTTTTTTAACATTAAATTTTCAAACTAAAATGCAGACTAAAAACACTGGGCATGTGATTTCACACATTTTTAAAATGAAATATTTTATATTTCTATAATTATCTGGCCCAGAGAATATGTTTTCAATTCAAGCCTGAACACCACTGGGAATTTTAAGAAAATTCTTCATGCTTCCCATTTCTTTTCATTCTTTTCTGTGATAATTGCAAACATAAAACAAGTTGCACATAGAAGGTTAATGTCATTAAAAAGAAATAAAAGTTCTTGTAAGTGAAAGAAAAAAAAAAAGGTCATCCCCTCCTCACCCCCAAACACCAAGAAAAAATGTCACTTGCCACTCATTTCCAGAAAGTATCTTGCATTCATTAGCATTCGGCCTTGAGGTTTCAGCTCTAACTGGTTGAAAGAAGGAGAGAAAGATCAGTCAGAATGCGAAACAACCCCTGAGCCAATGGCTTGATAACTGGCTACTTTGGTGAAAAAAAAAAAAAATTTCCAATACAGAGTGCAATATTGTTCTTTTTCACTTTACTTCTACTCATTATCATCAGACTACTGCAGCATTCATGATGAGAGATTTTCTTTTATTAGAGCACCTCAGAAATTCATTAATTTCACTTAAAGATCAAAAGTTACATAAGGAAGAAACAAAATTCTAAAATGGGTTTTATTTGGTTTTCTTGCCCTGAGCTGCTGCTTATGTGAAGAGCTGTAAAAGGGCAGACACAGATCTAAGTCATGACAAAAGAATCAGTCACTGGGACTTGCTCCCTTGGGGAAAAAGTAGGTCTCCTGGAAGGAAAGAGCATCTTGCTTTGAGGCTGCTTACAGACTCAGCTTCCCACTGGGATGCATATCTAGATTATGAGGGCGGCCATTCTCTTTCATAAGGAGAATTGGTTATCTTGGGAAAATGCTGGATGAACTACTAGAAGAAACTTTTATTAGACTGACCTGGAAAGGGATAACAAAAATATAGATATTTCAATGTTATTATTTCAATGTTATTATATAGAAAGAACCAGAACAAAGTGCTATGATTGGGGTGATGCAGGATGTCATGAAATGTGACATAAGAGAAAAAAAGTCCCAGCCAGTCTGAGCACTATAACTATGGCCACCAGTAATTTTAAAAGAACAAAGAAAAAAGATGAAGGTCGTTATTGATTATTGTGTCTATGGCTTAACTAGAATAAGTGAGAAATAGTGAGAAATGTCCTGAATCATGGATTGAAATTGAATCATGGTTAAATAACTTCCTGGTTATGGGACCTTGTGCAAGGCACTAAGAGTTATGGAAATCTCAGAGAAACTGACAACATAAGGACATACTTATATCATAGTTTCACCACTAGAAAATTTTTATGACAAAACAAGCTTGTACTGCTTGGCCAACTAAAAATTCAGATTAAAGTCAGGAGAAGTGTGTTTGACATCAAGCATATTGTTAACTTTCATTGGCCTGAGAAGGCCTCTGAACTCCTGCTTCAGTTTCTGTAAGCAAACAACCTCACCTGGAAGTCTGCTTCCTTAGTAAGTTGCTAAGTTACAGCCAATCACAGCAGCTACTCATCAGTCAATCACAGACAACCCACCCTTTAAACTGTGTTAATTGAGGTAAACATCACACTTTTTTTTTTTTTTTGGAGAGGTTTTCACTATAGGGTGCGTGCGCTTGCCAGACAGAGAGAGACAGAGAGACAGAAAGCGAGAAATCACTCCCCAGGGGGGATGGCCACGCCACAATCCCTTCTCCTCCATTCTCCTCTCGGGATCCTGGGCATGCACGCACACGCGCCGGGCGTGAGTTTTAAGCCACTGGGTCCGGGACGCAAACTGCGGTAGACTACGTGGGAGTCCCGCGACATAGCCATTACGCTAACTGCTGGTCCCTAAACATTACACTCTTACCAATCCAATTATTTCTCTACCTCATTCCCTCTCTTCTGTTTATTTATTTTTATTTTTTAATTTTTTTTGTACATCTCTTTCTCTTTCTTGCACATAAATGTTATCCCAACATGTGGCTATCCAGAGTTCCTTGGAAGCCATGCTGGGGGCTGCCCAATTTGAATAATTTTTGCTCAATTAAACTCTGCTTAATTAAAGGGTCTGAAGTTTTTCTTTTAACCATGTATACCACTGTTACCTGGTTTGTGGATTAAGTAGTAAAAATGGAGGCAAAAATGGAATGAGAAGAGGAAAGTATAAGGATCCATTCCCAAATGAAGAGGCGAAAATGGTCACCAGGTGGTCACAAAGTTATCGATATTCAGGACTTAATCATGATGTAGGGAATTAAGCCAGTCAGCTACTGGAAGCACAAGACCCACAGGAAGTCATATTCTGTCATGTTGGGGAGTGCATAGGAGATAGCCATGCAGTCATAACTTGGGAAAGCAGAAGGCTAGTGTCAGTATGATGCTTATAAATGGAATGATGTCCATGAAAATGAAAGGCACATTGGAGAACATTTTTAATGTATTTTAAGAAAGTAGATTTTATTAGAAGCAAAGGAAGATTTAAGTCCAAAAGAGCCTGTTGGCCTTTAAAATAAAATAAAACTGAACTAAGAAATAACCTATAAAAAAGCTCCAAGTTTAAAAAAATGTAAAAGTTTGCTAGTTGATTAAAAATAACTCTAAACTGCAGAGAAAGTGAAAAGTCTAATAAGCATAAAATCAGCTGGCCCAGCTGTGGTGGCTCAGGCATGATACTGGAGCCATAAGGGATGGTCTTGAGTTCAGATCCTAGGTCCTCCTGAACATGCCAGGCATACCTGTGGGCAAGCCTGTGAGGCTGGCTGAAAGAAAGGCTGAGGCCAGGACTGCATTGTGATGAGACTCTGTCCAGGCTACCTCTCTTTTTTTCTTTCATGGAGAAAGTAAAAATACTTAAAAAAAAAAAAAAAAAAAAAAGGATAAAGTCAGCAAAAGCCTAGACAAAGACTCAAATACAACTTTCAGAGATATAAACAGAAAAGTAGGGGCAGCCTGGGGCGTGGTGTTTGAGGTGGCTGAATCCCTCATGGCTGACTATGCAGTTCTAGTCTTAGATTTGGTGGCTTGAGAGACACACTGGACGTGTCTGCAAGTGTTCCTAAAATCCCAAAAGGAAGAGAGAGAAAAATGGACTGTAGTATGGCCATACCCGATAGGGGTGCTTTCTCATTCTTTCTCTCTCTCTCTCTCTCTCTCTTTTTCTCCTGCAGTGAGTACATGTGCCCTCTGGCAAATTAAAATGTTAAAAGAAAAGAAACCCACATATCAGTGAAGCCTAATTAACAAAAGTATTAAAAACCTAGTGATCCTTTCACCAATGGAGAAAGAAACATGAATACAGTGCTATTTTAAAAACCAGGGAATTGATGACGCCTCTTTAAAAAAAAAAAGAAAAGAAAAGAAAAGAAAAAAGAAAAAATTGAAGCAGAAAATAAATGGGAATGTGGAGAAAACAAGGGAAGACTTGGTTTGGTTTATGTCTTCCATCTCCTTGACCAGCCAAATGCTGCAATGCTGTAGGCCCAGCTACAGCCTCAACCCTCTCTCTTACTTGTTTTTAGAAATGCTTTAACACTGACCCGCATGTCTATGATTATCCATTTATTTAACCTTTTCCTACTTGCTCAAGCAGCTACCCCTGAAGAGTTTTGTTTCCATGCTCCCAATACTAAGCTGAATGCGGAAGTGTTCAACAGGTACCACTGAATAAGTTACCTAGACATACCTAAGCACGGGGACCTTAAAAAATAAATCTTGGCATATATTTGTATTTTAAAGGTTACTTTAGTGGACTGGCCCCATGGCCTAGAGATTAAGGGAACCAGATCCATTTGGGGGTGTTTTCTCCCCCCACCATTGTCTTTTTATTACTTTAGTGACATGAACAAAGATTTATGTACTTTCCTAAAAATACTGTTATTTTTAGGTTGATATGCAAAACTGACACAAAAACCTAGTTTCTGGGCTTATGTCATTCCCAATTCAAACCTGTGACTTAGAAATGTTTTGGGTGAATTTCTTAAAATCTGAGTTACAGAAAGCCAAAAGCAGGAAAACAAATTTTTTTCTTTGGCATAGACGATATAAACATTTGAAAACATTTTCTGGGGTCTGATCATATAAAAGCATTTTTACTGATATATTTTCATTCATTTTGCACCCCATAAATTTTCACTAGAATTTTGTATGCTTTCATGTATTATTATTATTATTTTTTTTGGAGAGGTTTTTCGCTATAGGGCGTGTGCGCTTGCCAGACAGACAGAGAGAGACATAGAGACAGAAAGCGAGAAATCACCCCCCAGGGGGGATGGTCACGCCGCAATCCCTTCTCCTCCATTTTCCTCTCGAGATCTTGGGCACACACACACACGTGCCCGGCGTGAATTTTAAGCCACCAGGTCCGGGACGCAAACTGCTGTTGACTACGTGGGAGTCCAGCGACATAGCCATTACGCTAACTGCTGGTTCCCCTTTCATGTATTATTATTCCTCTTAACATTTCTAAGCATTTGCTACCAAAGCAATTAAAACTAAGGTTTCTAAAAACTTGGTGTGTTAATATGAATTGTATATGACATAATTCTTAGTACAAAGTAAGTTAAATGAATTAATTATGAGTGAAAAAATAGAAATTGGCAAGGTATGAAGAGAAAAGACTAAACATTAACTGGATCTTCATTTTGTCCTTTGATATTCTGATATCTAGATAGACAACATTTATCTATTTCCTCTAAAAATAATTATTTATTTTATTTTATTTATTATTATTATTGTTATTACTGTTTTAAATTTTATTAGAGAGAGGAAAAGTAAGAAAGCAAGTCATCAGGTCTGGGGCTAGAACTGTGGTCAGCCATGTGGGAGTCTAGTGCCCTAACCACCACACCATCTGCTAGCCCCAGTAGACAACATTTGGATTCCCAGAATAAGGGAAATTGGTGATATTAATAAAACTTTTAAAATATTATTTCCCTCTTTATTCATAATTGTATATGTATGTGTGTGAGTTTTTAAAGAGAAAAAGATGCATCCTCTATAGAGTCTGAACATGCCATGATCCCCGTCTAGTCTTCCAGCCAGTTTGATCATAGGCACTTGCCTACACACCCAGTGTGTTTCAGACCAGCCAGTTCCGGGATGTTAAACCACAATTACTGTGTGGGACCCAGCTTCCCTTGAGCAGCTCATTACCATTGACCACAGAGCTGGCTCCAAGCTTGCTTTAGCAGTTACGAATCACTAATGATTTTTTCATAGCCTAAGAGACCTTCTTCACTTTACATAGGAAGATGTCAATCTATTCTATAGGCCATAATGAATAATCACTGTCATTATCAAACCACTAATGAGTAAATAGTAGGGAATTTGTTTACTCAAGGCCTGTGTGATCATACCTTTAGGTTGACCTGGAAATTTTGAGCTAGTCGTTAGCTAGCAACATGTGTATTACTTAATGTGCATATGCTTTAAAGCTCCCAGGTGGGACGTTTACCCATATTTCTGTCTTCCCATTGTTCTTTCTGCATCTCTCGGCCAACGAATAGAGCTCCACGGTAGTTTCAGATATTAGATCCATATTTTTGCCCTTCACGATGATCTGCATCACTCTTCCTTTATTGATGTGGGCATCAAAGGTGCTGTCCCAGGGTGGGTACATGGTTGGCTTTTTCTGGATATACATCTGCCCATTCTCTAGGAACAGAAAGAGGTGTTTCCATTACTTCAGCAAGCTCTGGAAAATAATTTGTCTTAAGTGGCACCTATTCCTTTGACTCTCTGGGATGTATAATGATGTTAAGAAGACAAAAACAACAAACAATCAGAGACAATTCAGGAAAGATTAAGACAGTTCTAAGGTCTAGATGTAAGGTAATGCATTGAATCTTAAAAGTCCAGTGTAGGTCATTTAGGCAATGCCAATCTGATAATGTTTTGGACTGGAAATGCCCCTCTACTGAAATTAGTTGCTTCACTTTGGTTGTGAACGTCTGGGGAAATAAACATCTTTTTAAAAACTTTAATGTCAGGGCTGGCAGGTGGCATGGTGGTTAAGGGCACTGGACTCCCACATAGCCAACTGCAGTTCAAGTCCTGGACCTGGTGGCTTAAACTCATGCCGGGCATGTGTGCGTGCATGCCCAAGATCCTGAGAGGAGAAGGGATTGTGACATGGCCATCCCCTTAGGGGGTGATTTCTCGCTTTTTGTCTCTTTCTCTCTGTCTTCCTGGAAAGCACACACACTCTATAGCAAAAACCTCTCCAAAGGAAAAAAAAAAAAAAAAAAAAAACAAACA